ATTTAGTCACTTGCTTGAGACTAAGTCATTTTTATTTTATTTTGTTACTGATTCTCTACCTTCAACTCTTTTTGGATTTCAGGTGTATGAACTTGAGGAGCAAAGGCACAACAAACCTTGTTCCAAGAGTTCCAGACATCCGGGCTTTCGAAAGAGAGATATCAAGGCAGAGAAAACAAGCAGCGCAACTTGCACAACATCAGAGGTTGGATACTGAGATGGAGCCACCGGTTAACGTCAATGGGCAAAACCAAGTTCACCCACCTCACCCAGCTCGCCCTATTGGCACTTATGACCGTCCGAACCTTCATGGCAATAGGTTGGGAATCCGTGCGCCAGCTGTGGAAGCAAACAACTTTGAGGTGAAACCAGGACTCCTCAACATGATCGAGAAAAACAAATACCATGGGTTACCTGTTGAAGACCCATTTGATCACTTGGACAAGTTTGACAGCTACTGTGGCTTGTCAAAGACTAATGGTGTGTCCGAGGATGCATTCAAACTGAAGTTATTCCCTTTCTCTTTGGGGGACAAAGCACGTCAATGGGAGAAGTCCCTACCTAGTGACTCTATCACTACCTAGGATGAGTGCAAGAGAGCATTCTTGGAGAAATTCTTCTCTAGCTCAAGAACTGCCAAGTTGAGAAATGAGATCTCCAGCTTCCAGCAAAAGAACTTGGAAGGATTCAGCGAAGCATGGGAGAGATTCAAGAGTTATCAAGCACAATGCCCACACCATGGATTCTCCAAGGAGAGCTTGCTCAGTACTTTCTACAGAGGTGCTTTACCTAAGTATAGAGCAAGATTAGATACAGCCAGCAATGGGTTCTTCTTGGGAAGGTCTGAAGAGGATGCAGAGGAGCTGGTAGACAACATGGTAAATAGTGACGCGGTCTACAGCGGTGATCATGACAGAGGTAGTAGGGGAGATGATAAGCAGACAAGAAAGGAACTTAAGGCTCTACAGGATAAGATTGACATCCTCATTGCAGAAAAAGCTACTCAAGAACAGCTGCACTTTGTTGGCAACTCAAGCAATGAAGCACAACCTGTGACAAATGAGGTTGATGGAATAGAAGGCCAAGAAGAGTTGTGTTTCATCAACAACAATGGTAGTTGGTACAAGAAAGAACCAAACTTCCGTTACAACAACTACCCACAAGGAGGTTACCAGCAAAGGAACAACTAGCAAGAGAGTTATCAGCCACAGCAGAACCCACCTCCAGGTTTCACCAACAAAGGGAACCAGCCTACCCAACAGCCACAGCAGCCTAACCCTTCTACGTCTACTCCACAGGAAACCAGCACCGACGCTCTCCTGAAACAGATTCTGGAGTCTCAGACAA